TTTTCGTTTCAAGAGCAAATCGTAGCTGTTAAAATTAATATTTCAATTATTTATTAATTTCAACAGCTATAGTTTCCTGTAGATTTGAGAGAAGTTAAAATATTATCTCCTTGAAAATAATCACATTGTCAGTGCAGATATTTCGAAAAGAAGAATATTTGCGGAAAGACAGTGTCAGAGAAAGCTTTTAAAGTTAATAAATTTTTTTGTATACTACAGTTTGAGAAAATTCAGTATTTAAATCTTTTTTGCAATGCTCGTCAGGACCGACCATAAAATTAACAGTTGTATGATTATTCAATGAGTTGAAGAATATATAGCCGATCATTGTACATAGACGGTCACTGTCGATAGCTTCGTACTGTAGTGGCAGATTAGCACTTTAAGTTAATACACATGAAGTATTTCCGTACAATGAGAAGGTATTTTAATTGCAATGTATAGCTAGTTTTCGAGAGGTTAGACGCATTGAAATCTTTTTGCATGTACGTTAAAGTTCAATTCAATTGCTTATAAATCCGTTCATTGATACTTGAGTGTTTTTATACAAAAATTTACAAGTCTCACATTGTGCCCTTTGTTACAATAAATACTGATACCACCAGTGTATATAATGGTGACGCGCGTGGATATACGTTTCATCGGCAAACGTTCAGAAAAGCGAGCACGCAAAAGATCGCTCGAAACGAACAAACGAAAATTTATGTATTGGTACAAATACGAGTATATCCATTCCCCGTGTTCGACAAAACTTGACAAACGAAACATTGCAAGCGTGTGTATCTAGGACGGAAAAATCCGAGTTTGTAAACGAAAACAGAAACTCTTGTGCGCGCATATACACAAGCGAGTTTCATCTCGTAGCATCTTATATATCGTCCACCGTGTACATACAATGTACGCAGAAGAACACGATAAACGAAATCGACGACTGTCAGCCCGCGCTCTCGGGACCAATGAAAAAAATGCGCCACGCGCCCAGGCGTGTATACGCGTTCGTCAGTCCGTAAAGTGATATAAAGAAAAATCAGTGGATATGGATCGGATAAACTGCGCGAGGATGATGCGACAAGTCCATGACAACGAGAAGAAATGCAGATATTATATGTATACCTATCTATCCCCGGAGTAAGGAAACGCGCATATTTACTTATTCTATTTTCATGAACTGATGACTCCGGTACAGCCGGATGGAAAGAGTATACCTTTTTCCCTTATCTTGCAGCTGTAGCGACTGTTAAAAAGTCGCCCTTCCGAACCGAGAGAGAGAGAGGAGGTTATGGAGGGTGGCTCTTTGTAGTCAGGACCTCCGAATGTTGACAGAATCAGCAGTGCAAGGTAGGCAGTAAAGGACTTATTAGCTTGGCTGCTGGGTGAATCCTCGGGGAAGGCGTCATGTCCCGCTTTTTCTGATAGTTGGTACTTGTTGGTCGTAGATAGATCCAGCTTGCTGGTGAGTGTTTGGACGGTGTTACTCTTCCCGCTTAGCACCAGGATCCGAGATTAATTTGATGATTCGGGGCTTCGGAGGAAACTTGGCCGGTCTCGTAGGTATCCGGATTGTAGGGTCATCATGGAGACGAGCCTGTGCACTAAAAATTTTTTTTGTAAATTTACTAACGGCTTGAAGATTTTTTTGTAAATTCACAGTACGGATCATCGTACGAGTACAAGTGACTGTGTAATACTACCAAAATGTAGTCAAATCTACAAAATGTCTTATAATTTTACTGTATCGGGTATGGGTCGCATTTCTGTCCAATAATGAATGGAGTAAAATTACTAGCCAGTTAGGTAGCATATTTTACTAGTGGTCTAGTAATGTTACATTATGATAATAGTAAGTTTACAATACTTGCTGTGAAACCACTAAGGAATCGTTTATCGAATTGATACAGTGTTCTCTACACGAGAAAATTAGTATATATTGCACAAGTGTTGTATTCTGACAATGAAAAGAGTTTTAAGGCACAAAAGACACATGCCCGCATATAGCAGTTGGAAATTTGAGTTACCTCGACGACATGGGCCTTTAACGAGAGACAGCCCAATGTAATTGCTGATAGACAGGTCTGGGCCTCCCCCATTTTGCTCGATGTCACTGGTAGAAGCCACGACAAAGGTTGTTCCGATACCTTGTGGAGGAGACTGGCTGCTTGGCTTATTTGTCTCTGAAGATGTAAGGTACAATGTGGTATAGTGGGATACTTTTTTAAGCAAAAAATATTTATTTCTTATTTTTGAAGCTCCACCAATGCTAATTTACCTAAATTTTTTTTTAAATTGAAAATATAGGTCTCTACTTAAGGAAACAATATTTATTGACTGTGCTTATCATTATCCATTTAATTAAATAATTTTTCAAATAAGTCGTGAAATCTGCAGTAGTGGGACATAGTCTTTGAGGATTATGGCAGTAGTAGGACACTATATGTGGTAGTAGTGGGACAGTATATGACAATGTTATTTGCATATGTAAGAACACGATTTTTTATTTATAAGAGGTGAATTATCACTTTTGAGAGTATATAACCAGAAAATTTTTCGTATTATAATGTGAAATTATGTGTTCTAGCAATAAAAAATTTATTTTAGTGTACAAATAAGATCGCAATAATAATTTAATTTTAAATAATGGAGAAAAATATGAGGTCCCAATTAATGGCACATCAAAAAACAGCATGGCCCAGTTGTCCCACTCAGTCAGTCCCGGTTTATGGGACATACAAAAACTGTTAGATTGAACCTACCGCGATAAATAAAAATATTTGGTAGCTCGTAAAAATTAATAATAAGTATAATAATATAAAAAAGTTCACCCCACAAAATCACAATTTTGTAAAATAACAAAATAAGCTCAAATGAAGATAAAAATAGAGATTTAAAAAAATTGTCGAAAATAATAATAATTGCTATTTGTATTTCAACTTAATGTATTCATTAATTTACATTCTAATTTAAATAAATAGTATTATGCAAGACAATAAACTTCAAATTTTGAGAAACAACAAAATATTAAGAGAACAAAATCTATTAATCTTATTATATTTACTTTTCTTGTTTAATGTATTTTTGAATATCTTTAATTTGTTCTTGTAACTTTTTCTTAGCCTCTTCTATTTTCTTTTTTTCCTCTTGTAATTGTTTTTTTTTTAATTTTTTCTCTTCCTCTTTTTTCAATTGCTGCTTATTTACACCTTTAAAGGCTATTTTTCTGTCAGTCTTTTTTCCCTTTTTTTTTCTTTCATTTTTTAACTAAAATCAGTAAATATTGTTAATTAAGTAGGTAATTACAAAATAAAGAGTTCTAGGACTGCTCACTTTTGAGGTTATGTGTACGATTTATTACTGTGTGTCAATAATTAACTTACTATGAAGCTGGATATCAATTACAATAACTTCACAATTGATTAAAACACACTGTATTCACTTTTACATAACAGAATACAAGATTTGCAAGTAAAAACAACAACTTTGCTGTGTCTCATTTATCGTGCCAAAGGCATAAATATGAAGTGTACGTAAATACGGTACATGCATTATGCTGTACCATTAACTGGGACCTTCAAATTTTAGATGTACGTATGTTGAGACATGGTTATAAATAAAAAATCTGCGTTAAAAATACTGATCTTTGTTTTTAAATATATTTAGGAATACCTAAGTTCATGAAAAAAAAAAAAATCTTGACAAAGAATTCAATTTAATTAAGAAAAAACTCAGTAAAGTGAAAGTCACAATAGGCGCAGATTCGTATGTCCTATAGTACTGCAATGGCAGAGTTGTAATAAACATTTTTTTGTAATATTCTTTACGAACTATGGCCTTCAAAAAAATTATATGATAAATGTTTCCACGTATATGTAAAACAAATGTGTTATTTCTATATATTCTCCATTATTTAACTATTCATTAATTTTAAAACATCCCATTAATTGGGACGTTGTCTCGCAATCGAGACATTTACCTTACCTTACCTCATTTTACCTTGGAGGTTGTTGCTTCAGAAGCTCCTCTCAGCTGCTTTGATGCCTGGCGCGGATGTATCACTTGGGTTATATTTCGTGAATAAAAATCAAAGAACTTTACAGAACGTATTAGTTGTATACCTAATGTAGTGTGACTTATGATACTCTCAACCGCTGACTACTCGCGACGGCACACAGACCATTCTTATAATGCCTACGGCGCGCTGATTAAGTAGTGGGTACATATTTTTTCGATGGGGCACCGCCTAGCGGTAGATTAGGTTACCAAGCTCAAAATTGCGTGGGAGTTTTAAAATTGGTGTAGAATTCGCGGTTAATGATATTATTAACGCGCGCAATATCACAACGTTTTATCAGATTTGTTGTCGCTACTGGTTGCCAAGTGTATAATTTACTTGCAAATTCGTAAAATTTTAAGACCAATGATAAGTATAGGTACACTCGCAGGATTTTTACACGCCTTTCCTGTGCAACGCTATACCAAATAACGCTGGGCCGGAAAATCAGAGCTTGAATTATTCGTCGGACGAGAGGTAGGGACGAGCCGCGTTAATTGATCGCTCAATAATTCACAGCACGAGTCCCTTTCGCGTTGCATCTTCCATGGTGCGTGTGTGTATATACTACGATCTTTGAGAAGAAGCTCAGCCGGGAGACTCTCCCCCATGGTTTTGATTAATTCAGCTGGTCGCTGCGCGCCTATACGTGCACTAGGTTTTCCGGGAATCTCGAGAGGAAACGTTTCGTAAGTAAGTATATACACAGGGTACGCGTTTTCTCGCTCGTGAGATCCCTACGGTCTTTGAGATGGAAATTCACTTAGATCCACTTGTGTTGGAAACTCGTAAGGGGGGTCGTATTAAGTTTGCATCGCGTTTCAAGCTCTGAAGAACATCCGAACGAAAGCTCCGCTCGAAACTGTCGCCTTTGCAATATTTATTCTTTACAATTATATACACCCAAACTTGTACCCATGATTTTTATGATTTTTTTTTTTTTTTTTTTTTTAAGGTAACAAGCTCGTTTGCGACTGTAAGCTTACGTGGATCTGGGGCCTAAGGAATGAGACGAAGAATCTGAAGCTGCGCGAGGGACTGGAGGAGCTCACGTGCTACCTCGAGGCTGGTTACGAGCCGAAATTCGACAATCCCGGCGAGGACATGCATCGGGCACTCGAGGCTGTGCGCAATGGTAAGTCTGATTGCTATTTTTTTTTTTTTCAACGCGGGGTTGTTCTTGAAAGATGTGTTGAAGAAAATTTTGGGCAGGGTTTTTCGGTTAGTAGAGTTTTTTAACTGACAACCTTAAATATTTCATTTAAAACAAAAAAAAACGATAAACGGAATCTGATAAGTAACGTGACGTTTTAATGCAATTTGAAATGGTTACTGCTCTGATAGTACAGAAAAAATTTAAAAACTATAGGAATCTAAAGTTTAAGGTTAGAAAAATACCAAATTTCGACAATGTAGCAACCTCATTTTGTCACAATATCGAATCGTGTTTGCACATCCTCAAAATAGGTCGAGTGATTTTTTTAGTTAGAGAATATGTTTCACCAAAATTAAATTTATGGGAAAAAACGAGTAACAAGTTTGTACATCGTATTCATTTTTCCACCATCTGTGCATAACAGATCGTCAATTAATTTATTATTTTTTTTTTTTTCGAGTAAAATAATTACATTGTACGTACTTACCTAAGATCTGGAATTTTCGCTGTCGAAACTGGCGTGAATAGAATTTTGGAACATGTCGAGATCACAGAAATAGCTGAGCACGGAAATGTTGGTGAGATGAATTTATAGTGAAACCAATTTTCTATCCTTATTACAGAACTGGCGAAAAAAGTATAAATTATTTATCAATAAGCAAAACAGAATCCAACATTATGTTAATTTTTTTATCCATTTTTGCAAAATAATATACACCGTGAACGTTATTATTAGTATAATTCATAAAAAATCAGCAAAAAAGTGTTTTCTTCTTTAAACAACACAAAATTTGGCTAGGATTCTTTAGACGGTCTACTGCTCCCAATAAGAGCAACTGCGATCCATCGGCACTTTAACTATCGTATTTAACTCTGAAGATGAAAAAATCCAATAAAATATAACTAAATGTGTTTTCTCAGCTGATTCAGGACTATTTTTTTTAAAAACTCCAATTATCTTATCAAAGTAAATTGTCATTTCGTTCCAGGCTTCCAATTCAAATCCGAAGATTCTTATTCGTCTGACAACTACGAAGATGATTACAGCGAGGACTACGGCAATCCCCCAGTTGGACACCAGGTAATATCAGGTTAAACCCCATTATAGCATTGCATGTTATACGTGCACGCCAGGGATACGGAAGTATTCAAAATAAAATTTTTTTTTTGCTTGGTGCATATAGTACCTGATTCTACACCTATACCCTAATGGTCATGATGATTTGTTCACAAAATCTATCTACCAGCTTGTGCACCAATTTACTAGCTTTTACGGACACCCAGCATTACAAGGCACAGATATTGGAGGGTGCTTACTTTCTAGCCCTTAACTGGTCCCGTTTACTTGCCTAAGGGTAACCCGAAGTCGTCCGAACTATAATATATGCCCTTAATTTTATTACTCTTTTTGTATCATCATTTCTTTCCATTTTTCGCTGTAAACCTCTTTGTCGTCAATGAACTTTTGCTTGACATTGTTTCTCAATTGCGCGTGGGTTTGCATCTCTGAGTCAAGAGAAACAAGTCCTTGACAAAAACCACAGGATATTCCTCCCACCGTAAACCCATCACAAAACATTCTTAATATTTCGACTCCGAGGGGAATCGAACCCTCAACCCCTTAATCAAACAAATGCCCGTATACCAATGCAAGTGGTAACCAATGCCGTAACAAAGCGTGTTTCAATTCCAGACCGAAATGGACGGGAAAACGGTGTACGTGAAGCACCTCCTCGACCTGAAGCCCGACCAGCTGCCCTGCCAGTCGAGGGAGGACGTGATGGCGTCCGAGCAGCCTTCCGGGCGCCGCGAGCACGGCTCATCGAGTTCGATCTTCTCCTTCGCCACCGGTGCCGCTCCCGGACTCCATCGGCAAATGCTCGCCAACGCCTTGACGATCTGCATCCTCGCCAAGGCCGTCCTGTTCACGTAGAAGCCGCGAATCCTCGATTCATAAATCTTTTTCAGCAAAGGCCGCAATCGTGCCAGCCAGACGAGGAGGATTCTCTTTGTTTGCGCGCGTACCTTTCATCACATGGGTTTTTTTTTTTTTTTTTTTTTTTTTTTTTTTTATCTCTCAAATTCGGACGGAGTTGGTGTGCAAAAAATCTTTGACCTTACTCCGACTCGTTATCTGATCAACTATACTAAATTACGCGACTTGAGGTCAATTGTTTTTTCCAAACGGGTGGATTATTTTTTTTTTTTTTTTTTTTTTTTTTTTTTTTATTCGTATATACAAAACTGGGAGATCGGAAAAACGGGCTCGAGAACATTATATACGCGAGGCGTTGCGCCGATGAGGAACTCGAAAAAAGCAAAAAAATGAAAATTGACAGGCGAGATCTCGTCGCTTTGTATAGTGTGGCCGCTCTTGTCGGTCCTCGATATTGCGGGCACGCGTCGAGCGTGGCAGAGACATCACACGCAAGACAATCTTTCGATGCCGATCGGGGAGGAAACAAAGGGTGGTGTAGAGGTTTTAAAAGCGCCTCGGTGGAAGGGTATGGATTTATGATAGTCGCACGCGAGAGGGGTTTTTTTTCTCTTTTATTCTCCGAACTGTCTGTCGCGCCGAAGTGATACGTTTGGTTTCGCGGTAATGGGACTTTGAAACCGCGTGGAAATCCGGGATTTCCTAGTCGTTTTTTTTTTTCTTCATTTATTTATCGAGACACGCAAGCTTTTGAAGACAAAAAAAATCTTTGGTGGTTCTTTGCAAGCGCGATGTCGGAGGAGTGAGATTTTTCGGCGTTCGTGAAGCGCTCCCTATTAAACGTGTGTCGCTGTATTGTAAGAAAACAGAAAATCAGCAAAGCAAACAAAAAAAGAAAAAAATACCAAAAAATATTGTATCGTGCGCGCGATGGAATGAAGAAAAAACAAAAGGCAGAATGTTTTTTTATTAGTATTTACATACATTTCGCTTTTTTCCGTATAGGTGCCATTTTTAGCATTACCTAAGTTTAATTTGTACTTTTTTTGCGAAGCCATTTTATTTTTTACGAAATTCGAATTACCTAGATGTGAGGAAGAAGCTTTCCAGACGAGTTTATTTATTTATCTGCGTAATTTGTAACTTATTGTGAATAATGATGCAGAGTGTGGTTTGAATGCTAAACAAAAAAAATTTTATCAAATGAATATCACACATTTTTTTTTATATATTTCACGTGATTTATTATCGTTTTTATAATAATTAAAAGAAAATCGCCAAGTGTTATTCATTTCCAGTGATCGATGAAGGCACCCTTTTTTGACTTTTCAATCATTTAAATCAACTCTGTATCGGCGCTATTATAGTTGTAATTATTAATTGTACGTAATTTTAAGGCTAACGCGGGTATTGAATGATTTTAGCGATGATTATTCAAGGCTGCAAAAAAAGGATGTTTTTGTATGATTATTACAATAAAGATAAAATAAAAAAAACAAAAAACATGAAAACTTCCGGCTTACACTTCGATAATTTGTGTAACTCTTTTTCTATGCGCTTATTGGCCGTCGTTTTTAAGAAAGTCAAATTTTCATTGATAATTTTTTTTGGATAATTTATTAATATTGTCATTAAGATAAGGAAAAGTAAGATAAGTAACGTGACGTTTTAATGCAATTTGAAATGGTTACTGCTCTGATAGTACAGAAAAAATTTAAAAACTATAAATATCTTTTCAAATAAGTCGTGAAATCTGCAGTAGTGGGACATAGTCTTTGAGGATTATGGCAGTAGTAGGACACTATATGTGGTAGTAGTGGGACAGTATATGACAATGTTATTTGCATATGTAAGAACACGATTTTTTATTTATAAGAGGTGANCCGAAATACACTGTTAAAATATAAAAAAAAATAAACACACAATCTATAGAATTTTAAATAGGTAGTTTGACATTTTTCCGAGCCATTTTCGACCCGACAGCCAAGATTTTTTCCGGTGTTTTGAATCTCCGATTTGTTTGGAGAAGCTGATTTTAAAAGTTATTAATTACCAAAGGATGAAAAGTCGGTTTTTTTAAATATTAAAATTAATCGATGGAGTGCAAAAAAAAAGGAGCGTATACGAAAAATGCATCAACTTTAAACAACCTGGAAATTCCAAACACTGATACATATCCTGTGTAGATTATTGTGCAAATCATCCGAATTTTTTAACAATTTTAATATTCAATTTAAAAGCCTAGCCTATTATACTGCCATTGAACTTTCATGTGGATTTATATCAACTTTTTACATTTTTGTATTTTAAATTTTCTACATCGATACACGAAAAAAAAAAAAAAAAAAAAGCAAGTAACACTGTCGGGTTGAAAAAAGCGTAATTTCGCAAAATTAAAAAAATAAAGAAACAAAGATATGCTTGACGTTGAAGAAATTCTATTAGGATTAAGGAGAAGAAGAAAAAAATACAAAGAAGATGTAAGCTAAACATAGTGTTACACACTTTTTCTAAACCTATATAAGCGTTCCTGCGTTGTTGTTTCAACTGCCGAATTTATCATACAAAAAATATAACGAAGAGCAAATTGCTTCCCGTTCCTCTTTTCTACCATTTTATTTTTTCCTTGTAACATCTGCGATTTAAAAAATTCATGCGTTCGCAGCGTCAATTTTTTATTATTACATTGTTGCGTAATGTCGAGCAAAAAACTCTACTTACTGTATATGGATCACTGTCCGCTGTATTATGTACGATACATGTTCTTTTATAAGGTTTAGCAATAATGACGATAAAAATAAAGCCACACTAAAAATAAAAAACAATTTCCGTCATTTTGTGTTACCCACGCCCACGCTATACTACACCAGCAACTCTACGGGTTGCACCTGGCAACGATTTTCCCTTTTTCTTCGGCGATAGACGACTAATTTTATTGGCACACACGAGCGCGTCTTGACTCGTATCGATTGGAACGCAAAGCTCCGTCGTAATGTCAAAGTAACCTAGGCTTTCGTGCAGTGATGGTCGGCCAACGAGTCGGAGTCCGGTGCGATCGCTGCTGAAGATTTTATTCAATTTTTTACGGAGGACCGACAAATTGGGCAAACATGCACGTAAGTCAGCCGGAAGTGGACTTCATTTGTCTTTTCTTTCAAGTCACACTTGTATTGTTTTTATAATCGATAATTACCGTATTAAAAGGCATTTTTGGGGGTACGAGAATCATCAACTCGATGATATATAAAAATATAGTTTTTTTTGGATAATTAAAACTAAAATAATTCAATGATAATTAGATTCAAGTAAATTTCTCCTTCCTTTTTTTTTTATTTTCAATATATTCAACAACCACATAATTTCTGAAGTTTGCACTAATTTGTGTGTAAAGAAACTCGGCCCAGTGTCATTTTTATGAATTACCAAGAGATAATCTTGTGAATTTCTTGTAAGATATGAAAGTCACGCCGTCGAGACGACGAGTATCAAAATTTCAGTTAACCGCGAGACAGCCAAGGTATTCAATAAAACAACGATTCGTCAGACAGGCACGTTAATTGAACGATTACCCCATTTATGACCGTCTAATACAATTAAAATCCTTGTGGGAATCATGGAAATAGATTTTGCAATTATTTTTACACGAAAAAAATCTCACACGAGCGATTTCTCCTAAAATTATATTAAGCCAAATCTCAGGGACGAAGATTTATTGTCTTTTATATATATCTTTAGAAACGTGGAAAAGTTTACAAATAACTTGTAAGAAGCGATTTTTTTCTAGTTTATTTATGATGATTTTCCAATTTTTGGAAAAAAAAACTGCTCTATCAATGTCGAGGGGCTCCTTTATCGAGGTTGTTCTCTGAAATCGTTGTCATAATTGTTTTTCCCGCTTCCTGCTCCAGCTTGTGTTAAAAATCACATTGTCTCCACCCACGACCACACGAGTAACCGATAAATAATTGACCATCAAATGGTTCTCTTGGCGTAAATAAAATCACTTTTCAAACCGAATTAATTAAGGAAACAATTACCCGGAGGATGACGGGGTTAATGAAATCCTTATTTCCAAGACAGGTGGGGACAAAACGAAAACGAGAGTGTACGCGAGGACCCTCGCAATCTCCCGACGGAAGGGCAGCGAAAATTCCACTCGGAACGCAATAGCACCCGAAAAGGGGGGTGGGGGCGCTAAAGGCTCCCCCTTTTCCTTATACGTGCGCCGTGGAAATCGAGGGAAAATTCCGGTCCTCGAAATTAATACCGGCCCCGAATCTACGCTCCGCCCGGCCAAAGGTATCTCTGCTCTACCTTCCCTACGTCTAGCACTTCTCTCGTAAGGTATACCTTTGCGTAAATAGCAAAGTGGGGGTATTTTTGCTGCAGCGGCCATTAGACCGAATAGTTCGTATCGAAATACGACTTGGCCATTAATAAGATGGCCCCCGCGTTCCAAGAGGTACACCCATTACAGAGATTACCGTCTTATATTTGCGATACGCGCGTTGCGAAAATAACAAAATTAAGCTTCTTCTTTAATAATGAATTGAAGAAAAAATGATTACTTCGATTGAAATCTGATGAAAAGAAAAATGAGCTCTTGTTGGAAAGTACGTTTTATTTATTTACTTTTTTGTTTTTTGTTTTTTCATCGTCGAAGGACTTGGAAAAAATAGCCAGAAGGATATAACCAACTCAACATATATTATATAGGTACAACTATTAGCAACAACGATTTTATCTATCTTCTTATGGAAACGAACATCATGTGTTTATCATATACTTAAATTCACAAGATAAAGATTCTTAAAAAAGGAACAAAACTCCCTCGTGCTTACCTTAAAAAACACAATATAAATGAGATGCTTGTACGTGAAGTATGCAAAATTTGCCAAAAAATCGCTTTTCCACCGCGTACCCCCAAAAACACGGAAATTCTACGAGAGACAATTATTATTGCCAATCGTAATTGTGCCGATTCCTTCAACTTCATTAAAGTCGCACCACCTTTTTTGTTTTTTCGTTTTTACATCGTATATATTTTACTGGCATTTTTACTTCGCACAAAAGGAAGCTTCGTCGGCAAAAAAAAAAAAAAAAAAAAAAAAAAAAAGTAAGAAAGTTTTATTCCCAAGCCGCTCGAACTGTCTCTCATTTCAATCGATTAACTCCAATCCCATCCGATCACTGCTCACTCGAGCGTATTGGGATATACGTATACCTGCATCGAATAATGGGAGCATATGTATACCCAATCGCCCAAAAAAAAAAAAATATATAAAAACGAGACATATATTAATCACAGGGAAGGAGCTCACTGGCTAATATTCACGCTCGATAAAAGCTTTATGTTTGCCTCGAACTGTAATAGGCTCCGGGGACCGTGATGTACATTTATGGGGCACCAGCAGTGCCGAGATTGATGCTCGCCCTGTGTAAGCAAGAGATTCTCTCTCGAGATTCGACGTATTATGTTCAGCTGACGTGTCGTGTTTCGTGATTTCGATGAATTCGCGAGTGTGCGCTATAGTCGACAACAAAAGTAAATATCGCGGGATTTTAAAGCAAATAACGGAGTGCACATTATAATGTTTGTGTATATATATATATATACGTATGTGATACGTGCACGCGAGCGATGAATGATTTAGAGGCATTCCGGGGATCGGCAACAAGTCTCGGGTGTACTTAATACGTGTGTATCTAAAGTCGCGATTTTCAACGTTATAACTGTGGAGGGAAAAAAAGAAAAATAGCGAAGGAATCGGAGGCCGTTGCGTGCACGTTATGCATCACGGACAGTTGGCTACGGGTCGCGTGTCACGTTTGCAAAATACGAGTAACTCGAGCCAATTTGATGTGCGGCCTAATCGACCTCCTTAGCATCGATTTCAGGTCGAGAGAGAGAAAATTTTAGGTGCAGCGCAACGCGTTACGGGTGTACCGACTTATGTATTGCACGCGACAGTTATTTTTTCAAGCGAATTAGAGCTGGAGATTGATAATTTTAATTTTTTGTGTGTGGTTGTTGTAGCTCGTTAAGTACATTATGAAAAAAAAAAAAACATTTGAAGCGTATTTTCATTTTTTACGTTCATCAATGTAAGTCGAGCTGGAATTTAGAGAAAAAATTAGTGACGATCTCAATTGATGAACAAAAACATATACAGCTTGTAGTATTACGTACGAATTCTGAAATATTTCTATGTGTCGTATCATGAGAAATTTAAAAGTATTTTAAAGATTTGAATCCAAAAGTTTTGGAGATTTTAAAACTTGAATCAAAAACGCGCGAAGGGGATACTGAGTAATGGGACCTAATACCTATACCCGATCCATACACACTGTGAACTCAAGTTTGTTGAGCGAATGCGTTTGTAAGATAAAACTGTTGGGCATCTTAAAAAAAAATTAACATCTTATCAACTACAGAACAAAAAAGTTCCTTTAAATACAGCAAGTTATTCCCAAAACGATTTACCCCAACAGAGCCGTAGACTGCAAAACATTCCCGAGCTTTCCAGCCTCAATTTTTCAGCTTAAAAATTATTTTCCACTGAGCTGGTTATATGTTCGATCAGTTTAGTTGTTTACTATACTCATCAACTTTTTTTTTAACCAAAATAACACCCTTACCGTGTGTCAGCTCATACGTTGACTCATTATACTTGCAGACTTCGGTACAGTAGTATTTAGCATGTGTCTGCCCATACGTTGACTCGTACTACTGACAATCTTCTGTATAGCAGCAATTAGCGTATTTTACACCAAAAAGTGACGTACCAATGTACTTATTTGGCAAATAAAATAAAAGTTTTTCCAACAAAGTGCAACATTGTACATTGTTTGATGAAACTGTTTCATTCAATTCAACCAAATAGAAATAAATTACTAATAATCGAGTCAAATGCAAACGCAGCATTATAACATCATCTCGTACAAGATAATTATGTATCCGTGCTTACATGTATTCGATTACAACGTACAATTTGACAAATCTATCGTTTTTTCCGTGTGTAATGTGTGTATACGTACGTATGAATGTTTCATTCATCACCGAGTAAAACGTAAATTTGTCCATTAAACAAACCGAAACAACCAACACTTTACACCGGCTCTCAATTCTACATCAATTATCCGCACTCCGTCCTGATTCTCTCTATATACGTATACATATATGTTCGCCGACTACAGGTCAAGCATCGTCGAGTGAGAGGGACAGCTCATACACGCGGATCTATATTAGGAAACCAGCATCAAACATACGTCGGGGAGTATTAAGCTAAGCGGAGCCTCCCCCGAGTGCCCATACCCGTACGTCTTCCGGAATGATTTAGCTCTCAAAGTGAATTGCACACTGCTCTGTATATGTGCGGGTACACATTATACGCTTTAGTCAAGTCGTGTACGTGTGTATAATATGTATAGGGGGTATTGTACGCGCGTCTGCCTCGATCGGTTTACGATCTGTATTGCTCTGTTGTTTTGACATATACATATATGTATATATATTTGGGCGTTTGGGGTTTGTTGCGGGGCGCCTTAATCGGTTTGTTGCGTAATCGATGTGGGTTTTGTCGAATGAAATGTGCAAGTATGGAGTTTACCGCACACCGAGCGAGAGAGAGAAACCATTGTTGTTGGACTTTGTACATTTTGATTTGTGTGATGGGAGAAGATACGTTATTTCATTGTTTTAGTCTTTCTCAATATATTTCGACATTTTTGCAGAAAAATTACACCTGTCCGCGCACATCGAGCGAGTGAAAGTTAAATGTTACAATGATGGTTTTTATTTTTGTACGATTACCATGCCGATCTCGATGTTTTCTACGATTTCGCGGGCACTGGAACTTTTATGATAGTACACGCGCGTGATCGCAATTTTTCAAGAATTTATTATGCAAAGTGCATGAAAAGTATGCCTATACGAGAGTTGTACACCTTAACTTTCGATCCTCCGTCAATTTCTTACGGTATAGTTGGGGGATCGGAGGTTATAAGGAAAATCGACGATCCGCACGTGTGGGATTACTTTTTATTTTCATAATCGTACTTTTACCATTAAAAGTATTCTGTGGTTAAAAAACGAGGTTCTTGACATACTCATATTCTAGAAAAAGTGCCATTTTCAAGATTCTTTTTTTTTTTATCGTTATAATAATTTGTTATTACGAATCAATCATTGAAAATTAATTTAAAACTCGAAGATTTTAATGTTAATTAAAAAAACAACAACAAAAATGTTTGCAAACTAACGATTTTATCGTACAGAGGGTGACGTAAAAAAGGAATTTCCATCAACGAAAAGCGACCCCATTGCTATTTATACATACATCGTAATTCTAAGTGGACCCAGTATCTTTTTACAAGACCCCAAACATATATTTCCTTAAAGTTATCCTATTGATCTTTCAAAAAAAAAAAAAAATAAAATAAAATGACAAAAAATAAACATCTATGACGAGCACATTCCATGGCACCGAACACCGTGAATCCTTGTACCCACCACTCGTACACCATCGAATCTCCATTGCAAATCCTCAGCGGCAGAGAGCACCGACGCTCGCGAAATTCACGTCGCGCGAGCGAGTTATCACGCGTATACGCGACTGTAGCCAAGGCCCCTGCATCGGGGCTCATCTCAATGGAGTGACTTGATTAACCCGGCCAAATTATATATAACACCAACGCCATTATATACCGAGGCCTGGTACTCCCAACACACGCTCACACAGAGATGGATGTAGAGTTAATCAACCTCAACAGCAAACGCGCATTATCATCCCCTCCTGTATACATACATGCTTCTAGCTCGTTGAATTTTTAAGCGTTACATAGGTCGAGAGAGAGAGAGAGAGAGAGAGAGAGTTGGTGGAATCGGGTCATCATCGTTCAACTGGAATCTCTCACCAGCGTGTGTGCATATACGTAGGCTGCATCTCCACCGAAAAGCTTTTCATTGAACTATATGTGTGTTTGTAAAATCAAAAGCTGCAACTCGCAAGGACATGCGTTTACGAGAGAGCCATAAATGATTATATGTGTAGTAGATATTTTGCTGTTAGAAATCATATATATCCTTTGGTTACACATTTGTGCCATAAATTGAAAAATGCAATGACAAAATCGTGCGGTATAGCTGAATATATTTTTGACCTAAGGAAACAAAAACAACACTGTTAAAACTTGCAACTATTTTTTTTTTTTTTTTATCAAATTAAAAAAACTGCTCCCCTCCCACTCTTTCGTGATTAACCAACCCCTCGGCTACCCCGACACCCAAAATTTCCGCGAACAAAAAAAAAAAAGGTAAGTAGTAACCAGATGGCACGCAGACGAGTAGGGCGTCTTTGACAACACATATATACCTTTGTTACCCCTCGTGGGCAGTGGCATCCAAGCCACGCCGTTTAGAACGGCGCGATATATATACACCTTTCCTCGGCTCGAACCACCCCCTCAACCAAGACAAAAACCGAGGGAAGGTCTCGATGACTCAAGAATTTTGTCGTGAAATTCATCAAAGACGTGACAAAAGTATACTTACCTACAAAGAACGCGTCGTTTGATCGGAAACAATAACAAAAAAGGAGAGACGATGATGCTCAAGTGGTTGGAATAACCATCGCCGGTCTCTTGTACTCCCGTGGGAGGGTATAAGCTGCTTACGTACGTTGGATATTACGGGCGCGGGTGAGAAGCTTTTCCCTCTCGGCAAATGCCATTTGCTCTTCCAGTGTGACTATTGTATTTCTGACTTATACCTTGCGTGTACGTATACATTACAGTATACACTTGGGTTTTCAGTCGATCGAGCGTGTAATCGGTAAGTCGGGTTGGATTGTTTTTTGTGTACTTGTTCGAGTAAAAGTTTTTCACGTAAGCTGTTTAAACATTATTGGGAGTCCAATTTATGCAATTCATAGAACTTTACGGTTGTGCATGAAAAATACTTTTTTTTTTTTTTTTTTTCAAATAGAAAAATGTGTACACAAGTGTAAATTGAAGCTTTCACGAGTTAGCTGAAACGCAATTTTGTATAGACTATCCACTACCTAATAATTTGCTCATACGAAAAGCTATACTTGATCACAAAAGCCCTTTCAAGGTAATCGAACGAATCGTAAAGGGTATACTTGCGTCTACTACGAAAAGGACGTATTGTACCTGTTTGAGATAGGATTATTGTTCGTACACAACCGAAAATTTATACAAATTTTAGTGGATGAATTTATATTTCGACAGTATGCGATTGGACTATATTAGCGCACAAATGTGCAATACAACTACTGTCGTCGTATGTCATCAATTTTACTTGATGAAAAAAATTCAACTGCACATCTATTCCTTATAATTATGATTTTACCACGTGGATAATCACGAGAAAAAAAAAACCATCTGCACTGTACAAAGGTAGCAGTGCAGCATGGAAGGAAAACAAAATAAAAGAAACTTATTAAAATGTAACGCAGGTAAACCTGAGAGTCCTCGGCAAGAAGAAGCAGGGACTCGCGTTCCTGGCTCTGCAGCTCGTCCTCGTCGGTCTGATGTACCCGTTCATGGAATACGGCCCCGATGCCCTGCCCAAGCCACCGCGAAATCGCTCGCGTAAGTACATATTTATGTATACGACATAAATATAACGTACACGGGTATATACAACCTTCCGTGCACTGACACGCGTACGCCAAAAATATGCAGCCGGTGCAACGCAACGTTGGATAAATAACCCAAGAAGCGTCGGATTTCATAACCGGCATTAGCATAAAAGGGCAATAAAGTTTCGGTTCGTTGGTTGTGGCCACCAAGTAGGGGAGAATGAATTTGCTTTCGAAGCGATAAAATCGGGGGACGTTTGTGTAGCGTGTACGGAGATCAATGATAAATTTATTTGTGCCCCTCGCTATTCCTATAAAAAATAGAAGCTCGGATTAAGGGGTTATACGTTTGGGTTATTGACTGATTTGTCTTCCATGTTGGGGGTGGCCCAACAACATTTTTTTTTCATCCCGTGATTCGTTGATGCGTTTACCAAATCATTTATTCCATTTTACTCCATATGAGACACTGTTTTATTCGTGTAGTAGGTATGTTACGGATAACAAAAAAAAAATGGCAAGGTGGTCACAACTTTTAGGTACGAAAAGTTGAGCTTGGCGTAGTGAAAGTGTTTACAAAAAAAAAAAAAAAAGAGTTAATAGTAACCATACGTGATGAGTTTCAGATCCCGCGCTGTCGACAAACACCGGAGATGCCACTTACGCGAGGACGATACCCAACGACGGCCCCAACCCTTTCTACCCAAGTGAGTATACACATTCGAGCACGAAAAAATAATCCTACCAAAGACGTACTTCGACAGGAGTTATTCTGATTGCGATTTAACTTTACCGCACTTAAATTTTTTAGCTTTTCATTACATGTATGTATGTATGAACTAGAGTTACCAACTGCATGTAGTATTAGGCGGTGAACTCCACATTTAATTAACTTTACAAAGTGAACAAACGAAAAGTAATCGTTAACTAAAGCATGCGAGGGGAAAAAGGGGGTCGCCACGCGGGGAGCAAAAAAAGTCGTCTTTCGGATATTTAGTGTGCGTACGCATCTTGTTGATTATTCGAGTTCAGAGGCGAAATTTCCTTGAGCCTTTTGCGACAGCCCCGAGAGTGTGACTATTTCCATTCAACGCGTCGAAACAACAACACTGTGCACTCGAATCGATTACCTATAAATAATTATTCGAAAGAAGGAAATGTAATTCAAGGTAGTGCGCGGAAAATAAACGAGAGGCACGAGAAAACGAATAAGAAGAAGAAGAAGAGCGCAGCTGTCTGGTGCAGATATTGGTTTCGGGAGAGGCGAGATTGAAAATAAATTGCATCTCGATGCGATTTTCTTTTCAATGAGCCGTTAAGGGATGCACTGCTCTCTCTCTCTCTCTCTCCCCACCTCCACTTGTACGCGCGGGATTGAGAGAAAAATAGGGAGAGGAGGTTTAATTGAAGTAACGCGCGCGAACAACCATTTGTTCGTATACATGTATATTTACGTGCACTTCTGAGAATTGAGTTTCTTCCATTCGCCTGATCGGTTCGCCTTTTGTCTCTTTTGCTCTTTTTTTTTTTTTTTTTTTCCTCGTTATCGATTGTATGGATGATCGGAACAAACTGCTTTTTCGTCGTTTGTTTCGCGGAGGAAAAAAAAAAACTGATCCAATTTCTCATTGGGTTTGGAGCGTGTGTGAAACGCGTGGGCCTGCAACGTGTGGTCGCGCAGTCGAAAGGTTGCATCGTTCAAACGCCCGTGGTCCCACTCACTATTGTGGCGGAACTCCAAAGCGCTGGTCTTACAAGCTGTATGGATAGAGTGAAATTTTGTGGTAACCTGGATTATTATCGGCTTTCCTTCCGTCATAAGCACGCGCGCTAATAATTACATGCTCTTGTGGAGAAAAAGCAAGAGGGACACAGAGAGACACAAGTTTGATCAAAGGCTCTTGTAACGTACGCTGCTGTACGAAACGTGTATGCATTTTCAAACGGTTTCCATACAAAAATAATCCTTTTAATGAAAAAAGTAACAATAGCTATAATGAATTATAACCAATTGAAACTTATGTAGCTCATGATATTTATTATTACTATGAAATTTTTTTTAACTAATAATAATTTTTATATGTATTATGACTGAGAAGTGATAAAAAATATTTATTGTTTATATTCAATGACAAGATTAAACCATATTTTTCTATTCGAATTTTACAAATTTTTAAAAATGTAATCGTAATTATTAGAAACATAAATATTTGCATTTAATTTAATTAAACATTACCTTTTAATTGTTCCATTTATCATTTACTTCCTACTGTATGGTAATTTTATTTGTTAACTTATTTTTATGAACTGTTCAATGAACGAGATTATATTTCCTCGGGATGGAAAAGAAATGCTCGTCGATCGAGTAACACATAAACCTATCCGTAACAATAAGCCTTCTCTCAGTCCCCCGATACCGATTTTCCATAGCCTACCAAGACGTCCACGTGATGGTATTCGTCGGTTTCGGCTTCCTCATGGCCTTCCTCAAGCGCTACGGCCAGAGCAGTCTCGGCCTGACGTTCCTGCTCGGCGGCTTTTTCACACAACTCGCCCTCTTCGCCGAGGGCTTCGCCGCCATCGCGAGCGACAACACCAACGGGACCGCCAAAATCTCGCTCTCCCTCGAATCGTGAGTTTTTCCTTTCATCTTCCCCGTGCAACCAATAATATAGATACACCAACACCCGAGACTGTAACCTCCCCCTTTTTTATATCTCGTTGGGGGGGATGGGAATCAGTTTCTTCGCTGCAGACACGGCAGTCGCCGCCGTGCTGATATCGTTCGGCGCGGTGATCGGCAAGACGAGTTTCTTCCAGCTGATCGTCATGGGTACGGTCGAGATAGCGGCCTACACGCTCAACCGGCACCTCTGTCTGCGCGTCCTCAAGGTACACACGACCAAATACCTCTACTTTGACGACGACGATTCCAACCGATCGGTCATTACTTGTACACTGCACAGGCAATCGATACCGGTGGTAGCATCGTGGTCCACTTGTTTGGAGCTTACTTCGGCCTGGCGGCTAGTTATGCCTCATACGGCCGAACCCGATCGACCAACTCGAAACGGAAGGTCCGCCGACTCGATTCCTCCTACAACTCCGATATCTTCGCCATGATCGGTAACTCATCGCGCAACGCCATGCAGTGCTTTTTATTGACATTTAGAAGCTAGTTGTTTTCGTGTGCTTTTGTAGTGTACAACTAGTTTTGTATATTATGTTTTACGTAAAGTTTAATTTGTAAGTACAAGAAGAAATGTCTTGGTAAGGGTGTACTTGAGACTTTCTTCCAAACGTTATAAAGTTACCTTATGTCTTCACAGAGTGCATTGGAAAAGTAGTCGTGATTTTTGTGGTTACACTAGGTTTTGCGTTTCAATCATCAAAAGTTGGAAAACCAATGTTGAGACCAATTTGCTACATAAGACCCTTTTTTTCAATAAACCGAAGGTTTTTTTTATTACTTTTTGTCATTCAACATGTTGAAGATACTTATTTTAATTACAGAATTTGTGCCTTCTTTTACATGCACTTTAAATATACATCATCCAAGTCTCGAAAAAAAAAAACTCAAATACACCTATATCGAGCCTATTGGTACGTATATCAGTAGAAAACCAATCGGAACACAAAACTAAGTGTACACGTAAAAATTAGGACAGTATCTTTAGCTCTAAAGCTTATGTACTTATAGAAGTTTCTCCCGTTTTCAAAGGTACCCTCGTCCTCTGGCTGTACTGGCCGAGCTTCAACAGCGCTGGTCTCAGCCGTGACCTGCAGACGCGGGCCATCATCAACACGATGATCTCGATGTGCACGAGCTGCGTCCTCTCGTTTGCCTGTTCCCTCTTGCTCAGCGATAACGACAAGTTTCTCATGACCCACGTGCAGAACGCCAGTTTGGCCGGTGGCGTCGCCATTGGGACTGTCACCGGTACACATATAATATAATGTACCTTTCATCCGATCTTTTGCTATTACTATCCATAAAATTAATCGACCAGTCACTTTGCACAGGCTTGATGATCGGACCGTTCGAGGCGGCGCTTGTTGGGAGTCTCGGCGGCATCGTCAGCGTGCTCGGTTACCACGGCCTCCAGCCGTACCTGACCCGCAGATGCAAAATAACCGACACCTGCGGCGTCCACAACGTCCACGGGCTACCATCGTGGATCGCCGCTTTCTACTCTGCCGGTCTCGCGTACACTGCTTCGATCAGCGATTACTCCTACTCGCTCTACGAGGCAAGAGATTTTTTTCTTCTCTGGCATACCTTGAACTTTGAAAAATCTTTTCCTTACTCCTCCGTCCGTTCGACAGCTGTTCCCGGCGAGAGCGCCGAGTCCCGGCCACGAACTCGACCTCGTCAACGCGGCTCATCTCCTCGACATACCGGCCGGCGAGTCGCGCTCCGCCGGATCTCAAGCTCTGCATCAGATGGCCTCTCTGGCCCTCACTTTTGCGATGTCCATTACCTCTGGACTCTTCGCGGGTACCTATACTGTTATTCTCTAGTCCGCCCCTTTCTTCGTCTTACATATACTACTTTTCAAGGTGACACTACTTGCTTTTTCAGGTGCTCTCATGCGAATACCCTTCTTTGGCTCGGTGCCGGATGACCAGCTGTACGAGGACTCTGTCATTTTCGATCTGCCTTCGGGTGCTGAGGATCCTGACATTGACACATCCCGCATTAAAGAGGACCGCCGAGAATCCTCGCTCGAAAACTCCGCGGTGCAGAGCACCAGGTTCTGACACGGGGTTTCGCCTTTGCAGCGTGAGCGATACCTATAATGTATCTATGTGGGCTTTTTTCGTCCGAGACGTAGAGAGAAAGAGAGAGAGAGAAAAAAAATAAAGACACGTTGTTCAAAGTCTGTACATGAGTGATTTTGGTGCAAGATCAGTAAATTGTTTCAATTGTTACTTCAATCGGCGTGTGTATATAACATTTTCTGCACCTATAGCTGGCACATGGAGAAAAAACAAAAAAAAAAAAGCACTGTTCATTCAACTCAACGAGAAAACACTTTGCAGGTTTCTCTTTATATTCTAATTAATACAAGATATGCGTACAAAAACAATTGTTGAACAAACAATTCAGTCAACAAAGAAGACAATTGCCGAGCTGACGGTAATAGTTATAAATATATATATATAATATGACAATAAAATCTTTCAACATACATATATAATTATATAGTAATAATTCACGCTAAACATATTATTTTTAATAAATCAGGTAACACTCATTTCATGAGGGCGTGCACCACAGCCTTGGCGTTCAGGGATTTGAGGTCCGTGTAAGTCTGGCCAGTGCCGACAAAGACAATCGGCTGGCCTGTGATGTACGTCATCGAAATAGCAGCTCCGACCTGGAAAAACAAACACACATACTGCCTCTGTCAATCGATTCCCTTATCACGAAAAAGGGGGGGGGGTCTAAAAAAATCGCTAAACAAACCTTATCATCGATGGTGTCAAACTTGGTGAGTACTATGCCGTCAATAATGTGAGGATTGGTAGAGCTACTGTAATCGGCGAGAGCCTGATTGAACTTGACGAGCTGATCAACAGCCTCGTTACCAACCAGAGCCTCGCCAACAAAGAGTACGAGATCGGGCTCGTTGACCTTGATGAGCTTGGCGAGGGCGCGCATGAGCGGCTCATTGTCCTGCATACGGCCCGCCGTATCGATGAGGACGATGTCAAAGTGAGCGTCTCGCGCGTAATTTATGGCCTCCATCGCAATGCCTGCCGCATCCTTGCCGTAACCTGTTACATTCCAAGTAGCCTTAGTGTTTGTTACTCGAGTGCCCAAAGTGATAGTGTATATCACGTAAACGAGAGGAGGAAAAAAAAAATACCTTTTTCGTAGAGCTGCACCATGGTGAGGTTGCTGTGCTTTTCTGGAGGATGAAGGGCGTTGAGATGACGCATATGGGTCCTGAGCTGTTCAACAGCACCGGCCCTGAAGGTATCGCAAGCAGCAATGAGTACTCTAAAATTGTTTTCTATCAGCCAGAAACAAATCTTGGCCAAATTGGTGGACTTTCCGACACCGTTGACTCCACAGAATGCCATGACGTAAGGTTTCTTCTGTTTCTTAGCCTCGATGGCGTCGCGAAGAATATCGACGCGCCGTTTGGGCGAGAGAATCTGGACGAGAGCGTCGGTGAGGGTGGCCTTAACGGTACTGGAGACACTTTCGAACGTGCCGAGGACCTTGCCCTCTAGCTTCACGCAAATGGAGTCGCAGAGCTTTTGAGCTATGTCGGTGGCTACGTTCTTGGCGATCAGGTGGTCCTTCAATTTTTCGAGCACAGGCTGCATGTCCTCTTCCTTGAGGGACTTGTTACCCACGAGGCTCTTGAACATAGAAAACACGCCGCCAGATTTTTTGGGAGTTTGGGGCTTGTACTGCTGGACCTCGGGCTCGTCGGATTCTTCATCCTCCTCGGAATCGCTCTCGACTTCCAAGTCACGAATACCACCCTTCATCTGACCTATGATCTGAAAAAATCATGAAATCATTGGTCAACAGATCATTAAATCGTACTTGACTTGAAGTTAACGCCAATAACAAACTTACAGTTGTATCAGCAGCGACATACTCTCTACTCTCTTCTGGCTTATCCTTAGTACGCTCCAAGTTTGCGACATCCTTGTTAGTTCCACTTAGTTCCCATACTCTAGGTTTCTTTCCAACTTTCTCAGGCTTAGGACTCTTTCTGAAAGGGGAAAAAAAAAAATTATACACCGAATATCAACCGTGTATCGTTACTTGTTTAGTTTATACAATAAATGGTGAACCTACTGCTTATCGGCCTTCTTTTTTGGTCCAGTTGCCATTTTTTGAACAAGTTTCATACGATTGGCCAACATTGTGTCCTCATTCAATTCACCATTGAGAAAAGGTGCTGCTTTAGGGGAGTCTGGTACTTTAGGCACTTCTTGAGTTTTTGCTGCACTCAAGTAAGTTTTTATTGAAGATAAAATTATTTTTTTGTACAGAAAAACATTGAAAATCAAAGTATTAAAAAAATGTATGGTGATGAAAAAAAAAGAAGCGGAAATTTTTAATGAATCATGCAAAACAATATAGAGCAAGTTTTGTCTCACTATTGACTTACGTTGACCTTCGTCAGCCACATTGGTCCCTTTTTTCTTTTTGTCTATAAATATGAAAAAGGATAATACCAACACCATAAGCTGTATAATTACGGAGAAATTTTTATGCATCCACAAGCACCAAAGAAGTATGAGAATGGAGTAAAAAATACAATCAGATATGATACTCACTTTGTTTTTTACTATCTTTATTATCATCTTTTCTCTCTATCATACTAGCTACAGTCTTTTTGGACTTGAAACTTTCATCGAAAGTTCTCATTTGTTTAGGAATCTTGGCTTGAGACTTTCCCCATTGCTCAGCCAAAGTCAAAGTACGTTGATAAGGCTTGGAAAATTCGTAATTGGAGAACCAACTGGATTTCTGCAAGTCGTTTTTGAACCGATCTCTAAATTCCAGATGGATATCGTTTAAAAACTTATCCACATATGATAACTGTAATATTTTTTGATATGCCACCACAAAAACCAAATCAAATTCATTGTCAAGCTTGTACTGCAGGCGCAGGTTTTCATGCTCAAATGATTGATTTCCAGTTCTTTCCTAAAAAATATTGACAATCCATGTGGTTACAATATGATTACAACTGTTTACATAGTGATATTAGGTATTAAAATAGTAAGAATAAGGCTTTCCAATAAAGGTAAATAAAATCGTCCCAAAATAGACATTGAACGAGCCATATGGACTATAAATACTCTAGAACCACACAATAGATAGACAGAAATCGATGGAAGTATAATTCAGCCTCAATAGTTTATCTCCAATCCTCTATCCTCTCTAATCAAATTAGCATATATAACGATTCTAATCTTTCAACCCACATCCATGAATTAGAAAATAAACAAGCCTCTACAAATCAAACCAATGATCCCTCAATCCTTCAAAACAATTAGATAAAAATAAAAAATAAAATACTGAAAGCACTATTAGAGAAAAAAAAAAAATCACATTTGACACATTCATGTTATACCATATGGAATCGCAACATACTCTTTAAAAGTCTCTAGCTCAAAGAGCCAGAAAATTGCAATGACTCAGCACCATTACCATAATATTGTTTTTCAACGAAACACGCGAAAACAAAAAACCAAGTACTGTAAGTGTCGAGAATCAGAGGGTAAAAATACCTGGAGGATGACACTCTTGATGAGGGCGTTCACGCTTGGTGTAAAGATCTGGGCTGTGCTCTGAAAGTACCAGAGCACAATGCCACCCTTACTAAAGATCGTGAACAAATCAAGCATTTTGAATTTTTGTCCGAAAACTCTGATGTAGTAAAAAAAAATAAAACGCTGACTCCAAAATGTTGTTTGCTTTGCTACTGCGCACACTGTGTGTATAGTATGCCCTAACCTACATGCACACAACTAAAGCCGCGCAGGGCAGCACACACACTGCAGTGGACATACCGCATCCCCAATATCCCCATTCTCCATTCCCCATCGGCTAACGTGTCCGAAAGTCACTGATTGGCTCCGCCATTTCCGGGACAATTAACTTACATGTATAACTATATTTTAATTTTTTGTGTATCAGCGCCATCTAGCGTTTCGGATTTTGCGGACTGACGAAAACTGTTTTCTAGGGGAACCGTCTTGAAAAAGTCCCTAGATTCTAGGGATTTCCAGCAGAAGTAAATCACTAGACGCGTATATAGATATACTTTAGTATAGGTCAATCACTGCATATACGTGAAGGGTCTATTTCATAGAGGTATAATAATAGACAGATAATAGAGTGCGTGACTGCTGTACTGGCCTGGAAGTGGAAGGCTTAGAGCCAATTTAGTCAATTGTAAACCAGCTGCAACTCATCTTACCATAGAGATATGAGGATTCTTATATCTCTATGGCATGCGGATGGACATGACAAATTGAAACGTTATGGCTTTTCTATTTATGGTATAATAAACGGTTTCTCAAAAAAAAATATTATTACTTGAAGTTGCAAGCACGAACAAGGATCCCAAAGTAATTGGGTATTTTTTTTTACAACTGATTGAGAAGCTCCAGTATTTACCAACTATCATCAGAACTGACAATAAAGGCACTGCTGAAGTATGGCGGATAGGCGTTTCCGTAATTTTTAGTACAGGCATGTGACCATCAATCTCGAGCCGTATGTTGCGTAATTTCGAAGCACGCAAATAGACCCTTCACGTATGTGCAATGATTGACCTACTATAGTATATCTATATACCTACGCGTCTAGTGATTTACTTCTACTGGAAATCCCTAGAATCTAGGGACTTTTTCAAGACGGTTCCCCTAGAAAATAGTTTTCGTCAGTCCGAGAAATCCGAAACGCTAGATGGCGCTGATTGCAAACTGAATGTAGGGAAGTAGGGAGCATCCTGAATCCTCCACCTTTCAACAGTATTAGGCGTTATTAAACTGTTAAAGTACGTTCGTAGTGCATCATGCAAATAAATAATAAAAATAATAAACCAATGAATCAGTTTTATTACAGTATAGGACTATAGGGTAGTGTATAGTAAGAGATAGAGTGTCCGAAAGTCATCGATTGGCTCTGGCGCAAATGTTCGCGCGCTAGAAAAAAAAATGTGGTGCGCGCGCGGGTCGACGTTACGTCAACGCAACTTGAAAATTTTTTATATCTCGTCTCTCCCACCTCCCACCTTCAGTTCAGAGAGGGTGAGGCAGACACGCGCACTGCGCACGTAATATCCAGAAAATCTAAAAGAATTTGTTTATCAACCAAGCATTTCAACAATTGAAGACCTCAGGATTGAGAAAAGAAAAGCAATTGGTCCTACTGTGACGCTCTTTTCAAGAATACTCCACAAACATCCTCGTCAGCTGGAGCAGTCGTCGAAGCAGCTGTGCATGACTACGAAACGTCTCGTGCGTTTGTGTGTGTATTTACATTTGTCCTGCCTATTTATAAGTTTTAATTACGATTCATACCTTTCTCAGCTTAAATTAATGATTCATTACGCCGTATATTAGCACATTAATGAATTTATAATTGTTGCTAGGGGAGTGGGGTATACTTGATAAGTGTTGAAATAGAATTTGAATATGTGTGGGAGAAAGTGTGTTATATGCACCAATACCAACAAAGCTATTTGTTTCAATTTTTTTTTTCAAATGCTAAAACCAAGTATCACTCATCTTCTTGGGTTTGTTGGATGTTTTTTAATACAAGTTGGTCATTGGATTTTGTTTGATAATTTTTACTCTATATACTTTGGAAAAAACTATACGTAAAATAGAATAAAGAATAATTTTCATTGGTTATAGGGACTCTCGTTGCTTTCACATCTCCCCCTCTTGTGTAGTTGTGTTTATAGGTATCAATTATATACAAATCAAATTAATATCTGTATTATTGTTTATGTATTTTTACAGTTCATAATGAAGAAATACCAAGAACATCGAGGATCAGTGGTGTGAACTGAGTTGCATCCCCCCTTTTTTTTAAAAGAACGATGCATTTGGAGAGTAACACTCCAGCCAAAGAGATGGTTCAACTCAACGAATCGCTGATCCAAGAACGCAGACCGTCGTGTCTCGAGGAAGATTTGGCTCTCAGCTCTTCTACACACGGTGAGTTGGTTTGAAAATTAACGTTTTACATTGGCTCAAATCTATTGTGAAAGTAAAATTTCTGTGATAATACTTGTTGAATCCAAAATAATGTATTTTAAATTACGAACAATGAAATGATATAATCATTACTAGAGACTAATACTCCTGCACTATGAAACGTCAAAACGTTTGACTTGCAAGCAGTTGTCTTTCCCTTGATGAAACATCCTATTGAGGCGTGATATCGAGTAAGAGGAAAATCGCACAGTAGATCATAATTATATTAATCCGATTTTAGACACGACAAATGAAAAAACGATGACAGAGCTGGAGGAAAAGTCGCTAGATGAGGAAACCGAGCCAAGCGACAGTCCAGCCATTGAGACGACGACAACGCGCACCGAGGCATCCGAACCCGATCGACAAATCGTTGAGTCGCCAACTAAGCCAAAAACGGTTGATCCAACCGTGGTGTACGAGGACGCAATGGACTGCAACTACGACGAGTCGTCCTCCACAACCAACATATCTACAACGACCACAGCACCCACAACGATAGCGACGAACCTACAGTTGTGGACAAGCAGTAAACAATTCAATCTCCCGGATCCCGAGACGAGTCCCGAAATGTTTTGCGAGAGCGACGCCGACGACGAGGCCGAGAGCACAAACACGACCACTGCTACGTCATATCCAACCAACAACACGCTCGAGGAACCGGTAGGAATATCCCCGCCGAGTCCTGTCAAGCTGAGCCAGAAGGAGATGGTACTTAAGGCGGACAAGTACTTACTGAAGCAAGTGAACAAGTACTTATGCGGGGTGCCACCGCCACCCAATCACACGATATCACAGAAGGACTGCGACGACTTCCTCGCGTATATCAAACAAAATCGCAGCTACTTCTGGGCGGATCCGTTTCTACTGGACAATGGCAAGACAAACGAAATCGACGCGTCCTTAGCCACGTCTTCTCAGCTAGAACCCTCGCAACAGGAGTACTCGCAAAACAGTCAAGTCATTAGCAACGAGTCCAAGAGGCGGTCGCCTTTAAAGGCTGGTATGCGGAACTTGAGCATGGCGTTCGACGAGTGCGAAAAATTTAGCCCAAACGATTCCTCCGTCTTGGACACGGATGAGTTGGAAGCGTCGATATGCAGGTTCGACTTGGGGAGTTCGCTGTTCAGCACGTCGCTTTTGTCCATGTCAGCTTTTGCACCGACGCAGAGCAGTGCCAAGACCGAAGACAAATTGTACGATATCGGTGACGATAAGTGTAAGGATTCGCCTTTCAACTTATCGCTCTTGTCGACCTCGACGTACGCACCTACGCAAAATACAGTAGATAACGAGGATAGCAAACTGGGTGATATTAGCGATAGTACGGATAACATGCCGACCCTGTACGCGACGTGTTCGGTCGACGAAGCCAAAAGTATGACATGGCCTGTGGTGTACACGCACCGTTGCCAGGGAATATAGTAAGTACACGCATTTTTCTACTATTACATTTTCATCTGCAAAGCATTTTGTCCAATGTACATGTTTGTCGTTTCAGTTACAACAGAAACAGATCGTTGGAAGACTTCGAAAATCTGCGGATGAAGCTGTGCGAAAGGTACATTGGCGCCGAGACGCAGTCGACGTGCAACGTCTGGTTTGCCAAACAGATGCCGGGTAGTGCGAGACAACGCAGCCTTCTAGCTAAGCGTAACAACGGCCAGAGCCCTGGCAAAAGACTGAGTTACCTTGCCAAGCGGAGGCGCACGTTCTCAAGCGCCAATCTGCAAGTTCTCAATTTCCCGGAAAAAAAGCTCATGCTGAACGTCAAAAAAGGACCGATGAGGAAAGGCAAGAGCCCACGCGGAAAGAGTCCGAGGAACGGTAAAAGCCCTCGAAAAAAGACTCCGCGCAGTTCCGCGAAGAAATGGATGAGGCGACTGCAACTGGAGGGTCCGTCGCCGAGGAAGGCTAAGATCGAGACGTCGAAGCGAGCACTGTTCCAAAGTCCACCGGTTGACAAAGCGGGTCCTAGTCGAGAAGTCGTTGCTACTGCGACGACCACCCAGTTCAATGGTGCTAATAATCCGAGGAAAATCAAACGAGCACTTTTCCAAAGAACTCCAAAGAAGAACGAAGGTAAAATACAGTTGTTTGAATTGTAATCCTTGTTGGTTTATTTTTTTTTTAAGTGGTCGATAATCAAGTGTTATTTTTCGTAGCTGGAAATAACGATGTCGAGTCCTTGAGTTTTCCAGAACTGAAGAAGCGAAAGAGCGAAGAAGAACTTGAACGCACACGGTACAAGTGGGCGAAAAGTTTGTCTTTCGACACACCGAGAAATTCAGAAAATAGCGCGTCCAATGTAAATCCCTTGCGACACTCGACGAGTAGCGTTACATCCAAATATGGATCGTCGAACAGTGGAAAATGTGAGCTCAGTGAAGCACATCGAAAGGTAAGACAACTTTTGCAGCAAATAAAATAGTTAAAGGAAATGTATTTTTACTTGAAACTATTTTTTATTTATTTTCAATATGTACTCGTTAATTAAGTATAAAAGGACTACGTCCACTCAAAGGGATCTCTAGCAATCGCTATGCCGCTTTTATGGGGCTGAAATAGTGGCTATCTACATACTCCGATATTTTATCAAAATTTTTCACGTCGTCTTTTCCACCACTCGTATCTGTTTTCGTTATTTTACGTAATGCTTTATCTCCTCCTTAATAAACATAATTAAAAATATAGTTTATACTTTGAATAGATGCACAATACTCAACATTAATGTGGCAATTATATTTTGTTCATAAAAATGGATTATATAGTACTACCAGCAAATTATCAACTAATATTTTTTCATTACTATTTTTGAATTTATATATGTGATTATCACATCTNTTTTTTTTTTTTTTATTAGAAACTTCTCTGGGCCGTCGCAGAAGCGCTGCGAAGCAAAGGTATCGGGATGAGCCATCCACGGTTCAAACAGCACGCGTCTGCGTTGGCGAGAACAGTGCGAAAGTACATGCCCGATCTGGAGAATAAAAACATACCACGAAAGCCCGGCAGCACGAGTGATCGTATGATTAAACTCGCCAAGCGACACGTTCTTCTCATCATTGAAGCGAAAAAAATTGAATCCACTTGTTGAGCGTTACTTTTATTTTTATTTTTTTTTTTTTTCCAAACGAGTGAGATTTATGATTATAAAAAATATCTTAAGCCACCTGTTGGTGCTGGCTAAGTAATGAAATTTTGTCTTATTAGAAAGCCGTTGTTTTATTTTTTTTTTATTTTTCCGCTGCAAAAAAAGCGATATCGTAATTGAATATTTTATGAAAAATCCGATTATTTCAAAACAATTGAGGATTTAAAATGTTTTATGTGATTTTAGTTTAAATTATTAACCAACAGGGAAGTATGCAGGGTGTGTTATCGTTTCTAACAAGTGTTACTATATATATGTCAAGCAAACGATACGAAAAATAACTGTATATGAATCCGAGTGTTGAAAGGTTTTTGAATTTTAAGTTGTATTAATTCATTAATTTATAAAATGAATGAAGGATAATTGTTGTTTAGCGCTAATAACTGGTCTTAACTTTTTTGAAGAAATAATTTCTCGAGTGTAATTTAATTGGAGGAAAAACTTTAAAACTTGAACGTGATTGTGAATAATAAATAATGAACTGAATTGTGCTTAAACTCAGAAGTTATTTTTATAAATACTTATGAGTACATACTGTTACTGATACTATATGAAACGAATAATGTAATAGTTTGTACAATGTAAATTTAGGATTTAGGGATACACACGTATCATGTATATATTATGTGGTTTGAACAAGCCTTGACTGCTTTATTGCGATAAAATATTATATTTTACAACTTACAAATAATTAGTAAAAGAGGCTTACTTCAAACTGACAGAGACGTGTTTTCTGCTTTTATTTACTTCCCTCTTCTCGAAAACACCGCAATTATGCACATATTTGATGTATATTTCATTACATTTCGTTCTTAAAATCTAAGAAATAAAAATAGTAAATCTTGTCGCGTAGAAAAAAAATATCCCTAATCAACCCTTGCAATCATCTCATCAATGATACCCGTTAGCTCTTTAATTTCTTTATTCTTCTGCTCCACAGTTTCCTCCAAAGATTTACTCTTCAGTTCTGCTTTCCTTACGAGAGCCTTTAGTTTCATTGTTTCAGCCTCGTTATGTTTCCTGATAGCATTCAATTCAAGATTTGCTCTGCAAAAAAATCAAAGCACCAAATGATATAGCGTTTATATTTTGGTTTTCCATTTTGGTTATTTTTTTTTAAGGAACGAAACTTACTTTTCAAGCTGAGCCATCGCATGACTCTTTAGCTGCTCGTATCTGTGCTCAAGAGTTTTAATAGTCTCTTGATTTTCCGTTATGCTCTCTTTAAGCACACTCTCGTTGGTCTTGTACGCGGCAACGACGTTCTTTAGCCTTTCGTACTTGGAGTGCACGTCGCTAAATGCCGCTTCTGTATTGCTCAGATGCTGATTAGCGACATGAAGCTCTTCTTGGAGCTTCGCCTTTTCCACCTCAAAGGTCGTCTTGTCCTTTTCCCTCTCTGCTATCAACCTGCTGATAGATTTTTCGTACTCTTCCACCACGACCCTATCAACAAACATTCATTCATTTATTTTCAAATCCATCGTTTAGCATAAAAAAAAAAAAAAAAAAAAAACATCGATACGTGGCACACTTACGTCATCTGGTCTTTGCATTTCACTTCCTGTAACAGCTGGGACTGCATCTGAGTGAATTTAGCTTGCATGCTAGCTAATCTCTCTTCGTTGGCTGCCTTTTGTTTCACCGACTCTTCCTTGTGGACTTTTTTCTGTTTTTCAAGCTCTGCTTCCAGTTGAAGCACTGTCGATCTTACCAGCTCCAGTTCTTTCACCATTTTTTCGTCAACCACAGGCACTTGCGGGACCACCGGTTTCTCTACAACTTCCTGAAACAACAGTTTATCTCACATTATCAGTTTTAAGAGACGCAATCAAGTAAAATTCAACAAATTGCACTACCTTCTTTTGTTTGGCCTCGGCAACCGGTTGACTCCCTTCGGTCACCGTGGGACTGAAAAAGAGTAATCTGTCAATAGCCGCTAAGGCTGGATTTTTCTTAGGCGTATCCATATTGGGTATCGTCGGCGTGGGATTAGCCGTGGCTGTTGGCGATGCCCGATTTGCTTCCTTGACGATGTTTTCTTCCTCCTCAGCTACAGGTGCTGTAGGTAAATTCTTTTGCGGCAACATGCTCTGTCTCTGGGCCAGTGGATCGAAATTCATAAATAGCGAGTCATACCTTTCGCCACGTTTGGCGGCTTGGGTGCCAGCTTGGTCGAGAAAATCAAATGCGTTTGAGTCGCCGAAAACTGCAATGAAAAAAATTATCATCAATATGTCACGGCACAAATCACAAGATGAAAATTGAAACACTCACCCTCTGAGGCAGAAACGAATCCTTCGTTTGCTTCGATTTTCTCCAGAGAAGCGTCAATGTCCTTGGCCACGGAGAGAGCAGCCTCTGACAGGTCGAAGTCTTGACTAGTCAGCGGAAATAGGCACTGCTTCTGAGGCTCCAATTCAGGTTGGAAGTGAGTCAGCAATACGTTCTGCTGATTATTAACCTGTTCGGGATGCTTTATCACTACAGTTGAATTTAACTCAGTTTCGACATCTTCAACCGACTCTACGAATAGTGCGCTCCTTCGACGGAAGGTTTCTTTTGGCACGGACTCTCTGTTGAGACTCTTGTCAAAGGGTGTAGAGGCTACCAATTCGATTTTATCTAAGGGCAAGAATTCCGAATCTTTGCCAACTTCAGCAACAAGTTCTGTCTTATCAGGTGTCTTTATGGTATTTTTCACTATTAAATTTCCTTTAAGTGGACTTGTGGTTTCTTGAATCAAGAGTGAACTTTCTTGTTTTTTAAATTCCTTATTTGTCTGTAGAAGTGGCTCAGGATTCAAGCTTTGAGTTTTGTTATACTGAACGCTCTCTTCGGTTCTTTTCAGAGCATCTGCGTCTGTCAAGTGTTGCTTTGCTCTCTGTACGATAAACTGAGTTTCGTTCAAGTCGTCCTTTTCGTTCGTAAACGCACTATTGTCCAGTCTGTTCTCTTTATCACCTTGTATATCATTATCATTAATCTCTTGTGTGATTGATTGGTTTTTATTGATGGTGAGTGTTTTCTGAATAACAGCTACGTTATTGTTGAGTGTGTTTTCCCTCAGGATATCTTGAGTTTGATTTGCAATATTTTTCTCCTTTACAACGTCTTGCGTTCTGTTAAGGAAACATTCTTGTACAACTGTACTTGTGGTTTCATTTAAATTGTCATCTTTCACAACAATATTTGGCTTTTCATTTAAAACATTTGCTTGTACAACACCTTGGGTCTTATTTGAACCATCTAGAGTTTTATTCTGAATAATTTCTTTTTTTTCAACCACCTGAGTGTCAGTTACAATATTTTGATTTATAAAATCCTCGGCTTGATTTACAATATCTTCAGCTTTACTTGAAAGGCTTTTATCGTTTACAACATCCTGAGGTTGATTTTCATTTATAACATGTTCATCGATTACTTTCTGAGTCGTGCTCAAAACGTTTTCTTGTACCACAATATCTTGATATTCACTCTGGACTTCTTCTAGTACTAAAACACCATTAGTTTTATTTAATATACTTTCTTGTTTCACAGTTTCTTGAGATTTATCTGTAACTTTTTCTTCTACCGCAATATCCTGAGTTGTACTTTTAATATCATGAATATTACTTTGAATTTCTTTTTCTTCTTCTTGCAGAGTATGCTGAGTTCTAATTAGTATACTTTCTTCTTTAGCACTATCCTGCGTATCAAAACTTTTTTCTTGCACAATACTTTGAGTCGTACTCAAAACACTATCTACCTTCAAGATATCTTGAGTATCACATTCAGCTGACACGATACTCTGAGCTTTGTCCAAGACACTTTCTTGCTTTACACTAACATCAAGACTCTTTTCTTGCACAATACCTTGAGTCGTGTTTAAAAGATTTGTTTCCTTCAAAACTTCTTGAGTATCACACTCAACTTTGTCTGATACAACACCCTGAGCTTTGTCCAAGACACTTTCTTGCTTTACACTAACATCAAAACTCTTTTCTTGCACAATATCTTGGGTGGTGCTCAAAACACTTTTTTCCTTAAAAATTTCTTGAGTATCACACTCAACTTTTTCTTGTACAATATCCTGTGTCTTGTTCACTATACTTTCCTGCTTCAGACTACCCTGAGTCGCGTTCAAAACATCATCTACCTTCAAGATCGCTCGAGTATCGCACTCAACGTCTTCTGGCACAATGTCCTGAGCTTCGTCCAAAACACTTGCCTGCTTCGAACCACTTTGATCTTCTTCAACGATATCCTGAGTGGTACTCAAAACGTTTTCTTGCACCAGAATGTCTTGAGCCTTATCCGCGACGTAATCTACAGTTTCACGCAGATCATTGTCCAGCACGGCATCCTGGGTAGTGCTCAGAACGTTTTCTTGCACCGCGACATCTACGACGCTCTCTGGTTTCTCTCGACTCTCGTTCAAACTCTTTTCCTGCACCAAACTATCCTGCGTCGTACTCGAAACGTTTTCCTGACCCGCAACATCTGCAGCCCCGCTCTCGTCAACACTCCTCTCCCGCGCAACGCCCAAAGTCGTGCTCAAAAGACTGTCCTGCGTTGCATCGGCCTTGGCGGCCTCCTCGCTCAAGATGGACAGCGACTTGGGCGAACTCTCTCGAAGCCTGGCTTGCAAATCAGCCGCAAACACAGACGAGCCCTCCGAATTGGAGATCAAGACCGTGGACTCGTTAAAGCGCGAGACTTCCTTGAAACTGACGTCGGGCGAGTTGAAACCCAGCTGCTTGATACCTGTAAGGAAATAACAAACAATAGGTTGGATCGGATGACTTTTGGTTGCAGGAATCGCACGAGATCGTAAAATACACGAACCATCGGTCTTGTCGACGGGCGAATCGCTTGGCTGGTTGTCGAGGGTACCGACGACGCTCTGCTGGAAGGAGGCTAAGGCGCTCCTGAACTCCTCGGATTTTTCCTGGTGCTTGCGCAAAACGCTCTCCTCGAACGAGACGTAAGGCAAGACCGAGGACTGCGAGCTTTCCTTGGTCTGAAACAACGTGGATATTAATTTGTTTCCCATTGCGGAAGCTAACTAAGAGATTGCAATTGGGAGTGAAGAACCAAGTTCCACTTGTCTAAATACATGAGGTAAAAATGACTCGTCGGTAGATGAGATAAGAAACAAGTTTGCGCCTATAATTGTGCTTACCTGGTCCCCAGCGTCGGGAGTCTTAAGCGTCTGGAGAGCTTTCTCGAGCAGTTGGGCGTGCGAGTCCTCGGTGAGGGTGTCGTCGGCGGCCGAGGCGAAGGTTTGGTCGCAGCTGTCCGCCTCGTCCTCCTCGTTGTCCTCCTTGGAGGTGGATGGGCCTAGAGTGATTCCAGCGCAAGCGGAGATGAGGTCGTCGAGGTCGGGGATGTCGGCATTGGTGTAGGACTTGTCGGGTGAGTCCGGGGCGGAGTCGACGCAGATGCCGCTGCTGCTCTTGGAGCTGAGGCTCTGGAAACTCGAGGCCGAGGAGAGGCTCCCCGGGGCGAGGCTGCTCGGACTGCTGGTGGTAGTGGTGATTGAGGGTGGGAGCTCGGAGGCCGGAGTGGATTTGGCCGCTGGGCTTCCTCGGTGGGATGGAGAAGTTTTCGATGGACCGTTGGAGCTCTGAAAACACGAGAGATCGGCGAGTTGTGTATGGGGTATATATGTAATTGTAGTCTCGAAGCATTGTTTGAAGCATTTTGATCTTAAAAATTTTAGTTTCATATATTTTTTCTGATAAACACTAAGTATTTTTGTTTCATCCCAAGTCAATTCGATCTCGTGATCTGCACAAAAAAAATCTGACAGCATTATCCAAGCGTTACTTGATGTTAAACAGTTTTTTCCTCAATCTGAGTTATGCATGAAAAAACATTTGGTACTCTATTCATCGTCAGTTACGATTAATGTACACATACATACGGTCGTGGATTGCGTACATACACATACAAGTACACAAAAAGAATGAGACAATCGAAACATTCCAAATTAGCTGTACCCGCATGTATTGGGCATTGGACATAAATATACGAGGGGTTCTACGAAAGTGTTAACAAAATTAAAGAAAATTATTCAAAGAAACACCTTGAAGACAAAAACTTGGTAACACACATTCGTGGATTATGGGACAATAAATAATTATAAGGCCAACCAAGTACCTATACTTATTGATGTGAAAAAAATGTGTTGGAAGGTCAAAAAAACGTGCGAATTTTTCACCCATAAACTTGGGAAACGCATATGATAAACAAATGTGGCCAAAGCTCCCGAAAAGATCTATTCAGTGTAATACCCGACGCGAGGCCAAAGGAGTCCCTGCCAAGTTTTAAGTTTTTTCTCCGACTTGGCATCCGATGCGCGCAGCGTATGAAGGAAGAGGAGGAGGCGCGCACTCGAAAAATCAGCTAAATGTGTCAAGTTTGCTCTGTTACTGGTACGCTTCGACTCGACGCTTTTAGGCACGCCTGACAGGTTCAACCGGCACCGTCATAACAATCGTTTGACGTGCGTGTGTTTACATTTCATGGGTCAAAAGGTATATATTGTTTGTACAATACGCGTACTTTTTTTTTTGTTTGTTTTGTTTTTTTTACACAACAAGTACCAGATTTCTTTTTTTTCTTTTTACGATCGAAATGGCCAAAAATGGCTTTTTTGTGGAGCTACCTCATCAAAAGGGGGCATCATCATTCACACGGCACGCTCTAGTAAACGCAACGTATGCATACACGCAGCGTCGTGTTTGTGAAAAGAAAGAAAACATTGCAAGCGGGGGGCTTATACGCGCGACATACACCGAAATGGCGCAAACAAACCATCGCGGGTCGCGTTATGCGCGACATTTTTCATACACAAATATACGTATAAAAGTACGGAGCAAAATAAGAAAAAGAGTTGCACCGAGGCGACGATCCTTTGGCGGCGCGCGAGCATTTCCAATAATAGTTGCACCACCTCCCTTTTGGCCGTTGTTGTCTGCCAGACCCGATTTTCGATTTATATATATACACACGCACTCTATACCGGTGCCGATTGGATTTTCGTGTTACCACCTCTCGCGCATCGTATGTATTATTGCCACCGATTGCCACCGCGTGCATGTGCACAAAAAGACGGAAAGAAAGCCCCCCCCCCGCCTCTCTTGGTAATTAGACTTAATCTTTCCCTTCGGGGGAAGCCAAACGCGAGCCCTTTACGTAAGAAAAACACCAATACCTCACGAGAAGCGTTAACCGTGGAGGGGGCCGCGCGCAGAGCCGGCTTCTGCGGGGGCCTGTTGAGCAGCTTGTTCAAAAAATCCATGGTCGGGGCCACAACTTTGCACTATATCAACTTGTACGTGCCCGGTGTAACTTGGAGGAGGAGGAGGAGGGTTTATCGGGGGCGGTGGTGCATCTGAGCGCGTGGGGGAGTGGGCGATGTGTTGATCCGAGCGGCGCTGCTCGGTTGTTACTACTGAGCACAAGATAGGCGCGCTTGCGATCGACTCTTTCTGATGACGGCGCGAGACAACGGGGATCGGCTGCCCCGCGTGCTCTCGTTTGTTGTTATACATATATATAAGTATATATATGCTTGGGGGAACGAGGGTATAATACCTATACCTTATGCTGTGGTAGTGGTGGCGCGCACGCGTTTGTGTGTAAAGGCGTGGGAGTGTGTGTGTGTGTGCACGCGAGAATTAATATGTTACGTTTTCATACGGATTAATTTGTTGTGTTGTTGCACAAACAGCTAAATGTATATATATATATATATACGCGCGTGCGTTGACGATATGCTTCTTGTCTTGCGTTAAATTTGTTGTTGCTGTGCGTAAGTACCTCTACTGTAGCCAAGCGTTCGTGTAGTATACAATTATGTTTATACAATAAATTAATATGACTCTCTTTGTGTGTGTGAGTCTCAACATATAGTGGTGCAATGTCTTGTTACTAGTTAACACTGTCAGCAGCAATGACGTCGGATATAATATTATATATGTTATGTATTTGTAATGTAGTGAGTTTACGATTAATATTACAGCCCCATATAGATTGGGAGCTCGTTAAGCTTCTCTGGAAAGCTGTCGATGGGTTATAACGATATAATAATGTTTCACGTCTTGTATTGTATAAGTGATGCTAAGAAAAAAAAAAAAAAAAAAAGATTGTTTCTAGGACCGTGAGTTTCAATTGGATTTTCGAGGCGCATCTCTGTGTGTTTACGAGTTTGACTAAACATAGCCCCGTGACGTTTTCCATTTCTCGCGTGCGGACGCCGCATCGGTGGTGGCCTTGACGGACCACAAAGACCTCGACAAAGGCACACCGCCGCCGCCGCGTCTCTCTTGTGGTGGAGGAGGGACCCTTTTCTTTCATCGTTTAAATTAAAAGTCACTTACATTCGTTGATAAATGATAATTAACAACGCAAGATTTCGTAAATTCCATGCCAAGGGGACAAAATTATCGATCGGAACAACAGTTTTTTTCGTTCGAACGTTGCATTTTTTTTCTTGATAAATAAAGCTAATCAAATCTTTTTCTCCGCGATGTAAATATATATAATTACGTATACAACACTGGTGGCTGACGTATCATTATATACCTACACATATGTGATGGTAATCTGATACGTGTTTCACGCGTATCGCCATAACTGTCTCTCCAATAACGTTCTCAAGGAATATTATGTATACCTTAACTCCGTATACTCTGTATTCACTGATACAATGATACGGGTGTCGTCACACTACGACTATCGAAATATCGTATTGTGCATTTGAATGAATATTCATTACGAGATGATTTATATCTAGGTATCAAATTACTTTTTTTTTTTTTTAGTGAAATACAGATTAATGGCACAATAACACACTTGTACTTGAGATGATGGTTCACCTGGCGATAAAAAGAACAATATACGCACAGACGTATGCCAAAAAAAAACTCGCGTCAATATTCGATGTTTTAAAAGTCCATGGGTCTATTTTAAGTTTGCGCGAAAACTTTTTTCGCACCGAACGAACGTCACGGGGTCTTTTGTTGACTCATATATGCGCGGCATATTGATGTTCGGAAAACAATAACAACCAGAGCGGACGATGAAAAAAAAAAAACAGTTCATCGACACTTTTTTTTGTTCACCTCATAATCCACACCGATACAATAAACAGTGGATTTTCCAAAAAATGCACAAAAATCGAGCCCACAAAAATTCAACTACAAAAAAACAGTAAGAGAGAAAATCCATTTTACCTTGCGCGCCACGTTACCCATGATCCAAAATATGAGTATACACGCACTCACGAGGGCACGGAAGAAAAATTAAAACAACCCATCCAAACGACTGGACACTATAATATAATGTAACAGTACATGTCACGGTCACACTGCCGGCGACCAACTAATGGACATGCGATACGTAACTACACAATAACGTATCTCCTTCTCATGTGTATTTTACCGTTCCGCCCCTCTTTGGCTTTCTCCCGCACATATTATCGCGTATATATGGATACGTGCCGATTATCACTTTTATAACACACACGTGTACGTATTTATACAGCGATGCAATTGTACACACTGCGCGCACACGACTTATTGGTGGCTTTTTTTCTTTCTTTCCCTTCTTAATCGCACTTCCCGTTACGACGACGGCGATTGTTGTTTCGCTGATTGACTCATCATCGTCACACTGCGCCCTATATTTCTCAGCGTGTCTTAATTTCGGTTGTAGCGAAACCGACGAAATTCCATGTGTACAAACTGAACATTTTGAAAAAAAAGGTCTCAATCGCGCATTGCCCACCGCAGTTATCGAGTGCGCGGACGCTGGGGCACTAAACCATGGCTTTACGGAATACCCCTCGAATGGAAAAGCACATGGGAGCGCGGGCGAGCGTCGAGTGACGAAAAAAGACGCGCGCCGGAAATATACTCTCGCTCTCGTGCGCCAGTAGATACGTAAAAAAAAAAAAATTTCAAAAAAAAAAGGAGTCTACGAGGGAGACTCTCTGTTCTTAGTCTTTCGCAGGACGGCAATTTTTTTTTTTTTTTTTTTTTTTTTTTTTTGTCATCTTCGCCCCTTCAAACGAGTCTATAAATATACAAAAATTTACGCTTTTCTCGGTTTGGTTTATATCGTTCGGGGTGGTGATGCGGTCGTGAGTTGCAATAGACCGCGCGTAAAGTTTTTTTTCAAATTTTTTTACCAATATTGTATACACATACGTATTAACTAATGCAACGACAATGGACGACAGGAAAAGAACTCACTATAGTGTTTACGGCAACAATGTTAAACAGCACCTAGGTACTATATGCTCGTTGTTGTATATTTATTGCATCTACGTAGGAGTGAGTGTCGTATGCGTTTCGCATTGTGCCTCTCTTGCAATCAAACGTTCGTGGTATTGTAATTATATAGGCATGTCACGCGTGGCTAGTTTTGTCATATCCGAGTGTTATTATCAATGAAGTTACACGTGTCGAGAGCCTTGGCGTGTGCAAAGTTAGGAAATCGGAGGAATAATTTGTGGCATTCGCTGTACGGTATCCGCTCTCGGGTGGTGTGGTGTTGTAAAAAAAGTGGTTAGACTATACATTACTTTGTTACAAGATGTAAGAATGTAAAATTTTCCACGTTTATTCAGTGATGAGAGAAATTACGATGGAAAAAGTAATTTGAATTTCGTGTGATACCAATGTTACGTATATATACGTGTAACAGTATATATTTTTGATCAACCATTTGAGATAAAAGTTTTTTACTTTGAAAGTATATAATGAAGAAGAAAAAAAACAATAATGTTGAACTACCAAAATTACATCCGCAGTATATCCGGACTTGGGCACAGACACATTAACTTGTTCAACTTATGAAATATTTTAATTTGCTAAAACTGCGATGCATTAAATTATTTATGCTAAGAAAAATTTTTTCCAGAAAAACCAGGGCATTACCAAGAGAAAAAAAAAGCAGAGATAAGCTACACGAAAAGGTATTTGATTGTTAATGCACTTGTTAGCCAGAATATATTTTTCTCCAATTATATTTAAGGGAAGAAAAAAAAAGTCCTGTCAAAGTGTTAAAAAATCCATAAAATAATTATGCCCAAGTCAGAGTACAGTCCACACTGCTGCTACGTTTTGTTCTCCCAGGATTTCCACGAGGACTATGGTAATACGGAGACATTCAACACCGTCTCCACGGACAATCAGCTCGAGTCCACGAAATGTTTCACGTCGGTGCTGTACAAAGTGACCCGCTCGTTTCACGTTGCTCGTACAAAAAGTGTCGATTCATGCGGAATGGAATTTTATCAGGAAAATCCCGGGACCAACTTTCAAAAAAAAAAGGAAAAAAAAGGGGGACCTTATCTAAGATATGCGAGCCGACAAGGCAGTAATTCACCTGAACTCTTAAAAGAAAAAGAAAAAAAAAATATCAGGTTACTAACCACAAGTTGCTGCCACCACATACCTATACACATGTACAGCCGTTGAAAGACATATCAGTTGGGTAGTTGTTAAATCAAGTAGGTATAAATGCGAGCACAAACGAGGCCAATCGACCGAAACACTCCGCATACTCCCCCACACCCGTGCACTTTTCTCGTTGAAAAGGGATAGGGTTTATGTACACGCAAAAGTGCATAAACGTGTACTCTGCGGGGTGGTAAGTGGACAGTATAAATATATATATATGGGACGAGCAGTCGTTTCTTGTACCATGGGTGGCGGCACGTGTGCAAGTGAATGAGTATAACTTGGTGAAAACGTTTTTTTTTTTTTTTTTTTTTTCACTTGAATGAATTTTGACGCTCCAGAGGAAAAAAAAGGATTTTCAGGTTGGTACATGCAAATGAGGGGGGATTTTTCACACGCGAGTGAGCGTTTTTACGACCGATTGCTGCGAGAAACATTTAAGCTTGAATGTTACCATGAGTTTTGTTGGTTTTTGTACGAGACCCAGTGGAATTTTTTTTTTTTTTTTCATCATTTCCAGTGGGCCTTTTTATCTGGGGTGTAAACAGGGTTTACACGAAATTCCTAAGTGATTAATTGTTAAATAAGATTATAAATAATAAATAAGTTCAACAGTTGTTTTTAACACTGACGAGTCAATAGTCGCAAACGCTTGTACATTTAAGTAGTTTGTGTTTGTTATTTTGTGATAATTTCAGAGTGCCATAATAATTATAAAACGTTTACGAAAACAATATAGGGAAAAGTTGTCATCGTATTTTGTGTAAGATACGGATTTTTATAAATTTACACACATGTTTTCATGTAAACGTGTTGCTGATCGTTTAAACGACTATGCAACTTCCTGCTGAATAGCAAAAGAACAGTTAAAAATTCAAATTTCCAACAATAAAATCTAATGATGTATTATTAATGAACCAACAAAAGCTATTGAAAGAAAAAAAAAAAAAAAAATATTTCGCTC